TTTAAAAATATTTAATATTCTTTTAAATAAAAATTATTAATATATAATATTTTAACCTAATACTTAAATAGTATAAGGTAAATTCCTAAAGTAATAAACTAAAGTTAATTAATTTATATTAATAAAAAAAATAAAAAGTAGCTTTAAATAAATATAATTATAAAATAAGTAAAATATAATAAAAATTTAGTTTATATTTAATTTTAATACTTTATTAATAACTATTTATTTAAGTTATTTAAAGAGTATAAAGAATTAAATTTTATATATTTAGTTATTTTTTAAAGAATAATATAATATATTATTTTTATATATATTTAAAACATTAGTTAACTATTATTCTTATATTAAAATAATATAGCTTAGTTATTCATTTTTCAGAGGGAATAATACTACGTAGTTATTCCTTCTTTTAACTAGCTAGATTAGTCTAATAGATATTCCAGGATGCCTGTTTATAGTATTATAAAAGCTTAGGTCGTAATACTAACCCTATAGGAGCTCAGCTTATTATACTTTACTACCTATATTAAGAAATATTTATAAAAATATTTTTTTCTAATTAATTAAATTAAATTAAAAGTTATACCTGCGTAAGATTATACCTGCGTAGTAAAAACATCATGCCCCCCTATTAATTACCAATTACTTACCCTATATTATTACTAGTATTTAGATTGGGACGTTACAACTAGCTTGCCACAGTCTTGTTATTTTAAAGTGAGTTTCAAAATATATTTATCTCTTTACCTCGTAATCTCAAAGTGAATTTCTCTTCGCACGTGATCCCATAGAGGCTTCTTTAATTATTTATACCTGGTGAGCTATCCCTTCTTGCATTCTTCCCTTTTCAACCTTTCCATCTCCCAATTCTCAAGCCAGTCAATACTTTCATTTACTATACTAGCAATCCCCACTAGGAACCGAGTGGAAACAGCTTCCTAGTCCTACCTAGTTGTATTAACATTCCAAGTATTTACGCTTCTTCTTCTTTCTCGGACTTCAGATATTTTACTCAGCACACTGGCAATTCCACTAGGAACCGAGTGGAAACAGCTTTTCTTCTTCCTCGCCACCCTACTAACTTCTAGCCGTAAGTACTGACCACTCCTTCCATTTTTCAATTTTCATCTACTGCAATACACATTTTCCATACACATCCAATCCCACTTGGATCCGAATGGAAACTGTATCTCCTTCATAGTCACTCCAATCCGTTCAAAAACATTACCCACTAACTCAACTAACCACTGACTTTTCACAGATATGGAAGATCTCCTATTCGAGGAGTTTCCTCCTACCCCACCGGCTTCGGGTGATCAAGTCAGAAAAGCAATCGTGTTGAAAGTGGACTGGGAGTACGATGACAACGCCCACTACGTCCCCGCTGCTTTACGCAATAAGGTACCAGATCATCTTAAAAAAGATGGTAAGATAATACTAGAGAAGGGGACTGAGGGATTTCTCTATGAAATCAGTCCCAGCAAGCAATGGGGTTCAGTGATGTTCATTGTTCATGGTACTCGCATACATGGTAAGCCTTAAATGAACCGAGATCATGATTACTACTTCGGCCCTGGTGTCGCTAATTAACTCAAATTCGATTATAGTGGCGGTTAAGTTAAAATACATTACAATCGGAGCCGATTTCAGTCCATTATCGCTGAAAAACGCAAAAAGCCTTGAGCTCTTTCAAACAGAGCCACTTCCCAACTCTAACTATCGCACCTACAACAGCAATTTAATGGACTCTTTTATCCATGCAATTTGGTGCACCCTCCGGTCAAGAATCATAGAACTCCATCGTCTCGGCATAAGTACGGTCCTCTTAAACAAATATTTTGGGGAAGATTTTCAACAAAATATAAATACAATCATTCAAGGCTTCACACCTGCTGCACGTACAGTACTGCAAAACGGCGATTTCTCAGTCAATAACCTTCTTACTATCGCTGAAGTAACAGAAGACTGGCCACCAGCAGGCCCTATTATTTATATTCGGCTCTATGATAATGAAGTCCCAGGCACTCCTCGAAGCGCTGTTTATGTTGGACAAACGATAAATGCCATTAACCGCCTCAGAGAGCACAATTGTACAACAAATACTTCAAATGGGTTACATTATCGGCATGCTCGACGCTTTGCACCTGAACATCGTCGTATGTTACCGCTATGCTCTTGGGACCAGGATATCCCACGTCATGTGTTAAACATGGCTGAGCAAACCGTGGTCCTCATGTTCGGGTCATATTCGCCAATGTCCCTGCCCACCAACTCCCTAATGAGCGGTCGTCTTGGGTCCTATTACCCGTTTATATCGTTCATGAGATCTCTCCGGCATGATCTTACGCAGAGGCTGCCATGGGCGCCTTCCATCAATCTCTTAGGCCTGAATGTTGCAACACCTCTCGCCGAGTCCAAGAAGCTTCGATTAATCCTTTGCACGCCGAGAATACAACTCACTGGAAGCATTAGGACATTCACCCGATACCGTACTCCCGTTAGTTTGAACACACACAAGGACCGCCAACAAGCAAGCTCTATTACTTTAAACCTTCGCCATAGTGGCCCTGACTATATGTACATCGGACTGAGTATTCCTTGGGAAGACATCAACTCAAAGAACATTCCTTCTAGCGGCTTTTTAGTCTATGAAATAATGGACGACGGACAGCCTCATCCCAGCCCGTGGATTAGAAGTCCAGCTGTTGGGCCATATGAAGACTTCATTCGAGCCTCAACCCTTGGTATGCGCTATGAATGGCATGATAAAGTGCAGAATGTTTGGCTTTCAATAAGTATACATAAGCCAGGATGCACTGCGATGCTTATCAGAGCCTTGAAGGCCAATAACGTTGAGATTAGCCTCGCGATGTGGAGGCAACCTTTGCATATAATCCAAGCCCTTAAAGGTATTACTTACACGGACTACCGACCCAACGAGGGATTTTATAAGCAGTTAAACTTCGGATTGATTAAGGTAATCCAGGTCCAAACCGACCACCTTAAACAGACGTACCAATTGGTTGAAAGGCCGGAAATACTCCAGTCCTTTCCTAAAAAAGCAACTTGGTCTTATAACTGTTCAAAAACAGCACAGCTCTTTTCGTCAACATCGACATACGTTCCATCTCAACCAGTCCCCTTTAATGCAGATCTTAACAAAACACTTACCCCTTCCGGCGTACGTGTCAGCGGATTAACAAACACCGACAAATGCGACTTCTGCATCTTTTCTTCAGCGCCGTATTCCATTAAATGCGAACCAAATGTTGATTTTCCTTACGGCCAAGTTTGCATGCTTTGCTCAATGTTCAATCGGCCCTGCACATATACTAGGTTGCCAGAGTTGACTGAACTATGGGGAACAGGCTCTCCGATCTTAGGGTCTCACTCTCATTTAAACAAATATCCGAACGGACCCCTCCGCTTTCTCGGTTTCCATGCTACGAAAAGCCAAGGCGTCCAGGAAGTGCCTGAGCCTCGCGAGAAAGCTTTAGGTTTCTTTGCAAAGCCAAAGGCAGATGGAGACGAAGACGAAGACGAAGACGAAGACGAAGACGAAGAATTAGACGTAGAATTACACGTAGAATCAGACCAGGATGGAGGAGGAGCTGGTGATGTGTAGGCGAAGTTTCCACTCGAACTCGGGTGGTAAAATTCCAGCCGGATCCGAATGGAAATCATTTTTAGCTAGTTACTAAGATAACCCTGGGCTTTATAATCAATACATACTGGCTTGCGCGTCCAAACATCGCAAATCTTGATGCTTTCCATGGGGTTATGAAACTGTGAAGTTCCCAGCGCACTTTTCACAATTGCGTTCTTCACACGGCTTCACAAATATTACACTTTTCACGCTTTCGGTATCATCACTGCTTTCATCATTGGCCTCTGTTCCCTTCATAATGGAAGGATGTTGTAAAACTGGTATTATGGACACTTGAGTGTGTTCAATTTCCGATGTCGAGTCGCCCATGGTGACAACATCCGTCACATGGGTCAGGATATCTGAGATTTCTCCTGGGGGGCTGTCAAACGCGGAGAGTTCTGACCCTGACTCCTTGCTATCCGGAATTTCCACTGAGTCGCGCACGACGACAGTGAATTCTGACCCAGGGTCTTGACTGTCCGGAATTTCGGCAAACATGGACGCACCGCTCACAAGGTCCGGCAACATCTCAATCTCAATCGCATTTGGATTGGCGTCTGGTTCGGCCAAATTACTTCCCGCTCCTGAAGTCTCGATACTTCGGCGGACATAGTCAGTCCGTGGAGGCGGCGTCAGCTCTCGAGGAGCATGGGAAGCGTTATGCGCCTTGACAATTGTTAGTACATTTGACTAACGGCCAAGTGGACCTTGGTAGTAATCGGCGCAGATCACTTTGACACGCATTGAGCCCGTCACATGTGAGGTGGTCGATGCGGTCTCCTACTGGATGGGACGGGGTTTCCACTCGGACCGGAGTGGCAATTTCAAGCTCACCAGGTGGTATGGTATCCTAAGATGCTCCTGCATCCGGAATGGTCCAGGAAAAAGGCGACCATAACAACGGCTCCCAATCACGCGGCAGACGTAGCCTTCTAGATCCCAATCGATGTATACATTCGTTAAGTGCGCGTACATTGGCTCATATATCAGCTGTCGTATTACTGCACTATTGGCTGATAGCCGTTCATCCTCTAAGGCCTGTACTGTATCCCCTAGTTTCTCATTAGGATTTGTAAGTGCGCTTTCCATTATTTAGTACCTACAAGGTGTTGGTTCCCTGTCCACTACCGGAGGCAATTCGGGAGACGGACAAGTGGGCAACGGCGACGGCGGCTCACTTTGGAGGTCGGGCCACACATTTTCAATGTTTTCAAAGTTCTCCATTGCAATGATCTTAGCGTTGTGAAATCGTCCGAAGAGTATGAATGGGACAAAATTTACTTCTGTTTTGCTTTTGCCCTTTGTTGTGTGCTCGCTTGTTCTATGGCATCACAAATGTAGGAAGGAGCGTCCTGAGTGGTAACAGACTGTAGGTACCTAGGTACCTGCATGCACTTACACATAGTAGTCGTACCTGACAGTGGGTACAACCTAGGTAGGTAGGTAGTACTCATTCATCCGTTCACCATACCCAATTCGTACCAGTGCCCCAAGCCGCCGGGCCGCCACATGATCTAACGCTTTCCCTAAATCAGATGCTGCAAGACACTACGTGAATCTCAGCCAAACTACACTGAACATCGCCATGTTCTCAACAACCCATGAAAGAGATGCTTCAATTGCTTCAGAAACGCGTGCCATTCGGATCCAGGTGGCGTTTGTATCGGAATCTGGAAAAACCGAGTCCGACGGCGAAGAAGTTTTTCCGTTCCCGGCACTATAAGAGAACTTCTCCCGCTGAAATCAAACTCTCCTTCCTTTTCTTTTTTCCATCCTCCGCCATCATCCTTGCTCTGAACCGGACACGAATAGCCACCTGGATCCGAGTGGAAGTCGATTCTGCTCCCAACATGCCACCCTCCAGACGCGGCGGGGCGAAGGGACGCCCGAAGCCCAAGAAGGACGAAACCGACCAGACTGACACAGTCGAAGACACCAATGATGAAATCGTAGTCGACTTCACTCCAATTTTGCGACTCGAAGGCATCAACGACTGGCGCGTCAAACCAGAGGCAAATAATTTCTCAGTAGGTGATACCGCTAAGTATACGAAAGACGAGGACACGCAGCAGATCCGCAAAATCGCCAAACTATGGCGCGACCTCGGCCATTGCATTGGAGTCCAAATATGCCACAAGTGGAATACAGAGCCCACCCTCATTTCGCTTTTGGCTCGGTATAACGGCATGAATGTAAACTCATTAGCTAATTTTGCTGATACTGTTGGTGAGTATACCCCTACATAAGGTTTCCATTCGGATCCGGGTGGAATTTTACCACCCGAGTTCGAGTGGAAACCCCTTTGCCCTCCCTCTCTCATGCCATTCGGATCGGAGTGGTGAAAAGCCACATGGATCCGAATGGAAACCCCTTTGCCCTCCCTGTCGCGTCTTGCTTACCTCTGAGTACATCCCATTTCAATTGACCCATGTGCTGATTCTTCCACTAGTTTGCGACATTATCCAACTCGGCCTTTTCCTTCTGCATCACAAATTCAACATTGAGATAGCTCAACAGCTCTTGGCGGAACATCCCGTAGAAGAAGGCGCTCATCCCAAGTTCATCAACGACCTTCTCGCGAACAGTCGCACCAGAATCAATGCCTTGGTGGTGAAACCCACTTCCCTGAGTCTGATTTCTCCTATCGAGTTGGTTAAGATGTATAATGAGAATCCCGTATTGAAAGCCTTTATCGAGAAGATCATCAAGAATCTGGAGAGGCCAGTCTTTCTACCAATTACCCGTGGTGTTATTTCCCGCGCAGACCTCGAGGATGACGCGTTGCATGCTCCCGCCACAATTCTTGCTCATGCCGTCCAACTCCTGCTCTTTGCGCCAACCAATTGGCGCAAGGAGATTGAGTACACCGTGCGGCCTGACGCGTATAAACACCGATATCCTACCCCTCCGGGCCATGGTGGAGATTGTCGAACGGTGGCTGGAATGTTCAGCCTTGAAGACCTTCACCGTGCCGTGATTTTGGTCTACCTTGCCATTTATCGCAGGATCAACGGGACCGACAAACTGAAATCGACCCGTCAGCCTCAGCCTCGTGGCGACTTCAAGGGTTATTTTGACGTTGAGCGGCAAATAATCGAGGACACAACTGGCCAGGAGGGCCCTTCTCAGCTCGCTATGGCGCGAATAATGAAAAATCCCTTGCCCACTGAGCGCGAGCCTCCGAGCCAACCACCACAGAGCGGTTGTGTCAGGCCATCGCCGCTGACAACGCCTTCCAAGCCAAAACCAGGTGCCCAGGGGCCAGTCGATTTGGAACAAGAATTTCTCACTCCAACCAAGCCACATGGTCCCAAAAACCGGGATCTTTATATGGACATCCAAACTTTCTTTGTGGACTGTGCTGGTGCTCGCCAGGAGAGCTTTCTCGTTGATGGCTCTGACCTCACTAATACCCAACCGCTCTATAGCTCGCTTGAGCAGATCTCAGAGGCGACCTAGAAGGTTCTCCTTGAGAGAATCCGCGAGCAATATGACTGGGATGATCCTGACAAGGTCTTTGCTAAAGTTTCTGAGCAGATTACATGCTTTAAATCCTTGATTGACGAACAGAAGCTTATCGACTTTACCGAGAGCGGTAGTGCTTCTACCGCAGTGCAAGAATTCCTCTCGCAACATCCTGGGGATGAGTTGGGGCTAATCAATGCCTTGCAACGCCAATACGCGTTGGAGACTACCTTCAACGGACACCCCCCTCCGGAAGATACTGATCTTAATGCAGTGTGTTCTCGTTTTGGGATCGCCCCATACCCTTCCCTGGAGCTGTATCCTGGGCAAGGTTTTCAGCCACTTAAACCGCATCAAGTGGCAGGTACGTGCCTTCCATTCGGATCGTTGTGGCCTTTTCACCACCTGGATCCGAATGGAAGCCCCTTTCTTCTTGTAATTCCCTACCATTCAGATCCTGTCGGTGAACCCCACAAGGATCCAAGTGGTAACTCCATTTTTCTCTCGACGCAGTGGGCTAACTTGTTGACCAGACCTAGGCTGCATCTTTGAGAAGCTTGATACGCTGGGCCATGTTCTTTTCAGTAATGAAATGGGCCTCGGAAAAACAAAAGTTTTTCTCGCTATGATTGAATGTAAAGCTCGCGATCTAGAGGCCAAATTGACAACTTTATCCGACGACGATGACCATGAGATCTTTTTCCCGAGCCTTATTGTCAATCCCCCTGGTACTATCCACCAGACAAACGCGGAACTAAAGGCAAATTTCCCCGGTCTGAAGGTTCTCTTGTACTACGGCGCTAAAGGTCAATCCCGCAAGTTTGACTCGTCCAAGATTGTGGACAAGGCGGAATTCCTCAAAGTGCTCCGCAAGTTGTCGCCTACAGACCCACAGGTGAGCATTGCATCCACCCATCCGCCTCCCATTCCACCCGGATCCGAATGGAAATGCTAACTTCTCTCCAGACCGCGCGAACTGTCGTCATGACCACGTATAACACGTTCCATTGCCGCGAAGTTATACGGAATGAGAAGCGATTCATCTTTCTCGGTCGCAAGGAAAAGGGACCACCTAAAAAACGGGCCAAGACTGCCCCCCCTCCCAAAAACCATCTGATCACTGATGAAGCGATTCGTAAGGGCGTCAGGTTCACCCAGGACACTGATCCAGACCGTGAGTCTGAAGACGACGGAGACGATGATTATACGCCTGAGGAAATGCTGGCCTTCCAAGCCAAACGTACCCAAAACTCGACCAAGATACGCAAGTATTACAAGGGAGACTGGGAAGTAGAGAGTAAGAGGATACACTTTCTCAAGGACGATGAACAAGGCATTCCCGATGGGAATCTAGTCGAATATCATCTCGCTCGTGAGGCTCTGGGCGATATCAAGTGGTCCTTCTTGATTGTGGATGAAGCTCACAATGCACGGCGTGTCAACGGTGTCTACAATAATTGTTTTCGGCTGCTCAACTGGAGTCATCTTGTTTAGGTGACAGGGACACCTCTCATGGGTAGTCTGCAGGACATTATATCACCATTAACCCTCATATCGCCCAAATTACGCATTCAACCGCCCCCAGTGGGAGATATGGCCATTGGTTATATCCAGGGTCTTTGGCATGAGGACTACAAACCGGATGGTAAGGCAACGCATTGGAAGGATGGCGATGAAACCGCTGCAATATTCTCTGAGAAATTTACAACCAGGTACCCCTCAGAGGGTTGGGCACAAATGGAAGAATTTTGGAAGCGTACCGGGGTAAAAATATGGCAATTGAACCCAGCGCTTGTGAGCCAGGCCGGACGTCACGCGGAGTGGTCAAGTGTCTTTGGCCAGAATGTCATCTCTGTAGTTTTGCAGACATTGTCCTTGCACCGGACCTTAAACTCCCGCCTCATTCTGCCCGATGGTCAAGTCTCCTTTCCTGGTACAGAGTTGTTGCCGATGACGATCATCACAGAAGAGCTGAACTTTGACCGGTCGATCCGTTTTCGCGTCCAAGAGCACGGGCGCAACTGTGCCTCAAAAACTTTCATCGCTGGTCCGTCAAACACTCTAGACAATTTCTCGCCCAGCCAGGGCGGCCTCTCCTCTCACAACTCGCAAGAGGGGTCACTCAACTTCAGCGCCTACAGAGAAGGAATTCTCGTAGCCTACGATTGGAGAAACACAGAGATACTCTACTCCAACGTAGAAAAATTTTTCGGAAAGGACCCCGACGGAATTCTCAAGACACTGCGCAAACTACGAGACGGAGATGCCATGACCAACAGCCAGAAACAAAGACTGCAGCGACGCGCTGCGAAGGACGCCATGCCAACGGTGGGAGTGGAGCATGTCCAGAAATTGCTCTCGCATGATAATAATCAGGGGCTGGACTATTTCTTCACACGGACATGCCCAGATCCATATGTCCTTCCCTTGACGGATCGTGCCGCGTGGGTACACTGGCTAGCCGGCACAAACCCAATGCTTGCAAGAACTCTTGAGCTTTGTTATCGCTACGTACATGAGAAGAAGGAACGCGTGTTGGTCTACATTGACACGCCTTGGGTCCAACAGTAAGTCATCAAATGTTCCATTCGGATCCGGGTGGATTTTGACCACCCGGATCCGAATGGAAACCCCCCGACCCCCGTTCTCCCTCGTATATGCTGACTTTCCTGTGTGTGCAGAATGATGTATGCAGCACTCTTGATGGCTGGCTACAAGACACTCACAGTTCGTTCCGCCGATAAACCTGCGGCTAAAGTCGAAGCTGTAGAGAAGTTTTCGGATCCACGTTCAGACGCACAAGTGTTTGTTGCCAATATAAACATTATGTCAACAGGTGTAAATCTGCATCACGCTTGTTGTTATGGCATCCTGGCCACCTTCCATTTTAACGCAAAAACAATCCAGCAAGTCCATGGACGGCTCAACCGCTTAGGTCAGAAAAAGGCTGTTATTTGGCACAACCTCAAAGTAAAAGACTCCTTTCACGATCACCAAGAGCGCATGCTGCTCACGAAATGGTCACGTCAATTGTCTGCCGAATCCAACCTCCCACAGTGGATGAATGGCGCATTGCGCGAGGTTATGCTCTTTGAGCTGATGCGCGCGCACTGGAATCAGCCATTCAACCGTTATAGCTGGGTCATTATCGCCGAACGGGATGGCAAATCAATGGATTACTACAGCGAGGAAGCCATTAAATTAGGCTATTGCTGCTCGCTCTTGGCTAAGCTTGTCTTGTTTGACAAGAAGGAGGACTACTGGAATGAAAATGATGATTTTATTGCTATAGCTCTGCTCGAACTTGCTGGCAGCCAAGAGCTGGAACAGCTTGAACAATGGCTGAAACTGGACGACCAGGGTCTTCGAGTGACATTGGAGTTGCGACTGACAAAGCTCATTCACGTGGCCAAGACAAACGAGACAAACAAGGAGCAGATTGAGCGTTTCAGGGACGGCGTGAAGCAGAGGCAGGCGCGCGAACCCATCCAGATCATCGATGAAGACGGCTCGGACAGTGAAGATCCAGTAGAGGATGAAGACGCCGAACTTGACAACGAGAAGGAGCCCGAGACTGCTACTGACGAGGAACCCATCGGTCCTGCTGGTAAAGATCTGGAAGATGGCGCAACGGAGTTGGGCAATCAGCAAGGAAATATGGATATCGACGCACCACCAAGCAATCAGGAAGTTGCAGAGTAGGTGATGGTTTCGGTCGATCTTGAAAAGACTCATAGATATATGGCAGGTCTATTTTCTAGTATAGGCGATTTGGGGGATTTTGCTATTCTAGTGGTTCTAGTGGATGGATCTTGGAACTTGAAAATGTGGGATGGATACACTCGATTTGCTTGGTCCTATAATGCGACCGGAAAGTTTGCCAAATTGGCAGAAAAGTTTACAGGTTCTGGAATGTTAGCCTGAGATTTGGCGATGCCATTTTATGGCTTCCATAGGGGACTTATGAGATTTATGGATAGGCGGGTTAGTTAGGCTTTGCTTTTGGCATTAGTCAGCTCCGTTTATCAGCCGGCCTATATAGGTTCGTGCTCTATTCTAGTTAGTAAAGGAATGAAGCTCTTCTCTTTTATACAAATCTACAAGAACTAAAAGTTTGGTACAAGGTTTACTTTTACTTTGCCTAGGTACTTTAGGCTTTATATAATTGCTAATTCTAAGTTGGTAATTCAAGAGATAAAATAATAATAAGTGAAGAGAATTCCACTTGGGTCCAGGTGGGAAATTATAAACCTTAATATTATAGCTGAACAACGGTGGCTATATTTTTCGTAGTACTAGGCCCTGAGCTAAAGTTAAGTACACCACCCTTCTTAGAAATAAAGGATAAGTTAATAATCTCTTTTATTACTCTAATATATATAGAATTTTATATTTAGCGTTAAATTAATTAATATATTATTTATTATTAATACTTATGTTTTTTTTTAATTTATAATTAATTAATTCTATTATGTTAAGTTAAAGAATATAATTAAATAATTATTAGAAGCCAGGTTAGTGGAAGAGAGTAAAGAGGGATAAGGGATAATCACAGGTAGCTATATAGCGAATACGTAAGCTTAAGGTAGCGAAGTAACTATATTTATCTCTGCCTTCCTTAATTCCTTCCTTAGATTTTAGGTTTTTTATAATATTATTACTAAGCTAAAGGCTTTACAACCCTTAGCTTACGCCTCCGTAACGTAGCTGGTGTACAGCTGTTATATAACTACACTCTTTTTAAATAAGCTTTAATATATTACCCTTTTTTCTAAGGTATTACTTTAATACTTTTAATAATATTCCTTTTCTTAATCTTATAATTAATCTCTTTTATTAAAGGTATTACCTATATAAAAGCTTTAATATAATTTAAGCTTTATATTTATTTTATTTTTATTATAAATATATTACTATTTTAAGCTTTTCTTTTATATTTTTAAAAATAAATATACATAAATAGTTAAATATAGTAATAGTTTTATAATACTTTTTTATTACTTTTATAACCTAAAGTAGTTAATATTTTTTTATAAAAAATAAAAAAGTAAAAGGGAATATAAACTTATTAAAATTTTAATATAATAAAGGTAAAATATTATTAATTTTACTTTTAATTACTTTTACTTTTACTACTTAAATTTTATATTATATTAATTTATTTACCTAGTATTTTTATAAAAGCTAACTTTTTAAAGGTAGTTTAATATATTTAACTTTTTTCCTTTATATTAGCCTTATAATTAACTTATAAATAAAGCTATTCTTTATTATTATTACTTAGGTTATATATATAAATAAATAGCTAAAAGTTAACCTCTGCTTTATATAAATATAATAAGTTAGTTATTATAACCCTTTTATATTAAGTCTTTTTTTAATTTACTTTTTAAATACTAGCTTTAAGTATATAATATATATTTATAAAAGCTATAAAAAAATATATATTCCTATTTAAGCTTAATATTATTAGGCTACGTAGTTATTATTAAATATACTTTAGTAAGCTTAACTAGACCTAGTATATTATTACTTTTTTATTATAATTATTATTTTAATTTATAATAGGCTATTATTAGTCTACTGTAATAGTAGTATAAAAAAGCTTTTTATAATATTAATAATATATTTATAACTTTAGTAATAGTTACTACTATAGTAATTATAATAATTATTACTCCTAGGGTATTAAGTATTACCTTAGTTTACTATTAGGCATAGGTTTATAATATTACTAATATAAAGATATAGTTAAATATTATAAATTCTTTAAAATTAATAAATATTATACTTTTTATCTTTTTTTTAATATATTTCTTTAGCTTTTATAATATTTTTATTACTAATCTATCTTTTAGGAGTAGCTTAAAAGCCTTAAGGGTTATTTAGCTAATAACTTTCCTACTGTACTAGCTTATAAAGGTAAGGTAACTTAAACTAATATTATTATAAATAAAGGTATAATAGTTATAAATAATAATATAATTAGTAATATATAGTAGTATTTATTTATTATAGTTATATATATACCCTTTCTTTATAGTATAGTCCCTATATTATATAATAAGGTAATAATATTATTTAATTAACTTATTTTCTTTTATAATTTTAAGCTTTTTATATAACTATATACTAACTATAATTTACTTTTACTTTACTTTTACTTTACTTTTCCCTTTAAATTACTTTACTACCTTAGTAAATTAAAATCCTATAATTATAGCTAGTATAATAAATTTTATTTATAACTACAGCTTTTTTTTTTTTTTTTTCCTTTTTTATTACCTTATAATACTAAAGTTAATACCCTCCTTCTTTTTTATAATATTTTTTTAATATTTTTATAATTAAGTATTTTTTTTTAATTTTCTTTATTTTTACTAATTTTATTTTTATTTTAGCTTATTTAATTTATTATAATACTTTATTAATTAAATAATAAATATAAAACTATAAAATAATAAGCGCTTAATAATTAGCTTTTATTTTTTTATAGTAGTTCTTTTTTAATTAATCTCTTAACCTTAATTTTACTTTTATAATATTTTAAAAATACTATTAAAGCTTTAAATATATACGTTTACGCTACCCTTAAGTAACTTATTTATTAAACCCTAAAATATAAATATACTTATATACTTTATATATTAAATAAAAATAACTTTAATATTAAAGAATTATTTTTACTTTCTTTTATTTTTACCTTAGTTAATATTATTATTTTTAAAATATAAATACTATATTATTATTTTTATTTTTTTACTAATTTATAATAACTATAAAATATTATATTATAAATATTTTTATAATTTTACTTTTTATATTAGTAAGTTAAATAAAAATAATAAAAAACCCCCTTCTTTAACTATATACTTTAATATTTAAAGTATATTTTTTAATTACTCCTTTACTATAATAAATTAATAAATTTTTTAAATAATTTAAGTAAATATTAGTACTACTAGCTTAATTATAAAGGTTACTTTTTTATTCTTAATTCTTATATTAAGGTTACTTAGGAAATATAGTAGACTTTTTTATAATTTCCTAATATAAGGTACTCTTCCTTTTATTACTTATTTAATATTAACTTATATAAGAACTATTTATTAATTTATAGCTTTTAATATAAAAAAAGCTTTTAAAGTTTTATATTTATAATTTAAAGTTTATTAGTTTAATATATAATACTTCTCCTACTCCTTTATTATTAAGTTAATACTAAAACCTATATTTAAATTTATAGCTTTATATTTAGCTAAATATTATAAATTTATTATATATAATTATAATAATAATATTTTAATTAATAAATATTCCTTTCCTTTTTATATTAATTATTTTTAATTCTATTTAAGAAATACCTTTTTTTATAAATACGCTAGGTATTTATAGCTATTCTACTTTATTCTTAGCTATCCTTTAAAGTAAAGCTTTATAAGCTAATATTACTATCCCCCGTCTTACTATTCCTATTCCTAGAGATATTATATTTAAGGCTACCTTCCTTTTAGTAGCTACTTACAGCGTTAATACTACTATAGCGCTAGCTTAAGGTAGTATTAAGAATATGCTTTCTTTTACTAAAGCTAATAATAATAATAATAAGAAGGATATTATTAATAAATAGTAATAGTTGTTTTTTTATAATAGGTTTATAAGCTTACTGTTACGTATTTATATTATTTAATTTATTAATTTATTATATTTAACTTTATGTTTAGCATTAAAGATAAAGAATACCCTAGAATTTACTTATTACTATATAAGTTTATAGTTAACTATATGTCACGACCTAACACTTATGGTCGCGACAACGGGCTAACTAACTAAGTGCAACTAAATTAACTATAATCTAAGTAGCTAATCAGGCCCCGCTTATCTTACTTATTTAACAAGCTTAGCAAGCTTATACTCTTTATACTTATTTTATAAGCTATATAAGCCCAGAACTAATTAAATATATAAATTTACTTTATATTATTTATTAAAATAGTTTAAATAGCCAGTTGTAAATATAAAATAATGCTTAATTATACCTATAAAGTATTATTTACTAGTTATATAAATAAACCCCTTTTATTTTTGTTAATTACCCGCTAGTTTAGCCTAGCCTATCCGCTAATATAAACCTAGTATAAGGTTTATCCCTTAGGAATTCCTTTTATACTAATACTATAGGAGCTTAGCTTATTATATATTTATAACTCTTATTTAGAGGTTACCTTAAACTATAGGTAATATTATTATAAGGATATTAAATAGTTAAATTCTATGTATTAAATATAGAAATAAATTAAGAAAGCGAAGTTTAAAGTATATACGGAAGTAATATTAAAATTTTAAACTTATTTAAAAAAACTATTAAAATAATAAATCCTAATATAAAAGGGATTATAACCCCTTAATTACTAGTTAATAATACTAAAGTATAATAGCGCTTCTTAAACCTTAAAGCCTTAGTTATTTATATAAAATAAATTATTAAAGACTAATAAAATACTATTAATATACTTAATAAATAACTTAACGTTTAATAGTAATAATAAAGGTAACTACTTATAGTTTAAGGCTAGCAGGGAGGTCCCTGTAAGAAAAAACTAGGTAAGATTATTAAGCTACTTCTGCTAATATTATTTAATAAAGACTTATAAAAAGTTAAGGGATTTTTTATAAATATAAGGTCTTATTTTAAATACTTT